CTGATATTATACTAGCCACCAGTTTCAAAAAAAAGTGAATTAGTGATGTCGGAGTGAATTGACATGGCATATACCATTCGAAAGGTAATCTCGTGAGATTTTAGCACTGCAAGTTTCAGCTTTTTTGCAATCAAATTACGCCCGCCGCAGGCCAAACACTCTGATATTGTACTAGACACCTGTTTTAAAAAAAGTGAATTAGTGATGTCGGAGTGAATCGACAGGACATATACCATTCGAAAGGTAACCTCGTAAGATTTTAGCACTGCAAGTTTCAGCTTTTTTGCAATCAAATTACGCCCGCCGCAGGCCAAACACTCTGATATTGTACTAGACACCAGTTTAAAAAAAAGTGAATTAGTGATGTCGGAGTGAATTGACATGGCATATACCATTCGAAAGGTAATCTCGTGAGATTTTAGCACTGCAAGTTTCAGCTTTTTTGCAATCAAATTACGCCCGCCGCAGGCCAAACACTCTGATATTGTACTAGACACCTGTTTTAAAAAAAAGTGAATTAGTGATGTCGGAGTGAATTGACAAGGCATATACCATTCGAAAGGTAATCTCGTGAGATTTAAGCGCTGCAAGTTTCAGCTTTTTTGCAATCAAATTACGCCCGCCGCAGGCCAAACACTCTGATATTGTACTAGACACCAGTTTAAAAAAAAGTGAATTAGTGATGTCGGAGTGAATTGACAAGGCATATACCATTCGAAAGGTAATCTCGTAAGATTTTAGCACGGCAAGTTTCAGCTTTTTTGCAATCAAATTACGCCCGCCGCAGGCCAAACACTCTGATATTATACTAGCCACCAGTTTAAAAAAAAAGTGAATTAGTGATGTCGGAGTGAATTGACAAGGCATATACCATTCGAAAGGTAATCTCGTGAGATTTTAGCACTGCAAGTTTCAGCTTTTTTGCAATCAAATTACGCCCGCCGCAGGCCAAACACTCTGATATTGTACTAGACACCTGTTTTAAAAAAAAGTGAATTAGTGATGTCGGAGTGAATCGACAGGACATATACCATTCGAAAGGTAACCTCGTAAGATTTTAGCACTGCAAGTTTCAGCTTTTTTGCAATCAAATTACGCCCGCCGCAGGCCAAACACTCTGATATTGTACTAGACACCAGTTTAAAAAAAGTGAATTAGTGATGTCGGAGTGAATTGACATGGCATATACCATTCGAAAGGTAATCTCGTGAGATTTTAGCACTGCAAGTTTCAGCTTTTTTGCAATCAAATTACGCCCGCCGCAGGCCAAACACTCTGATATTGTACTAGACACCTGTTTTAAAAAAAGTGAATTAGTGATGTCGGAGTGAATTGACAAGGCATATACCATTCGAAAGGTAATCTCGTGAGATTTAAGCGCTGCAAGTTTCAGCTTTTTTGCAATCAAATTACGCCCGCCGCAGGCCAAACACTCTGATATTGTACTAGACACCAGTTTAAAAAAAAGTGAATTAGTGATGTCGGAGTGAATTGACAAGGCATATACCATTCGAAAGGTAATCTCGTAAGATTTTAGCACGGCAAGTTTCAGCTTTTTTGCAATCAAATTACGCCCGCCGCAGGCCAAACACTCTGATATTATACTAGCCACCAGTTTCAAAAAAAAGTGAATTAGTGATGTCGGAGTGAATTGACATGGCATATACCATTCGAAAGGTAATCTCGTGAGATTTTAGCACTGCAAGTTTCAGCTTTTTTGCAATCAAATTACGCCCGCCGCAGGCCAAACACTCTGATATTGTACTAGACACCAGTTTAAAAAAAGTGAATTAGTGATGTCGGAGTGAATCGACAGGACATATACCATTCGAAAGGTAACCTCGTAAGATTTTAGCACTGCAAGTTTCAGCTTTTTTGCAATCAAATTACGCCCGCCGCAGGCCAAACACTCTGATATTATACCAGGCGCCAGTTTTAAAAAAAAGTGAATTAGTGATGTCGGAGTGAATCGACAGGACATATACCGTTCGAAAGGTAACCCCGTAAGATTTCAGCACTGCAAGTTTCAGCTTTTTTGCAATCAAATTACGCCCGCCGCAGGCCAAACACTCTGATATTATACTAGCCACCAGTTTAAAAAAAAAGTGAATTAGT